TATAAACTTTATATATATATATATATACATACATATATATATATATAAATATAAATATATATATATATATGCAAATAAACTTTATAGATATATATATGTATACAAGTATATATATATGTTATATATATGTATATATATATATATATATAAAGCAAATTGAGATAAACGGAGGTGCGTAAGAACAGCCTAGAACAGATCAATATATAAAAATAAATATAAATAAGAACTAAAAATTATAAACAAAAAACTAAGTATATATAAATGAGAATAAATAAATATATACAGACAAAGATAAATAAAAAAGAAGTGCAGCAAAACGTTTTGTTAGAAAAGAAACTCAAGAAGTTGAGGTGTATAAGCAGCTCCTTCCTGTCTCTACTGCATGCATGCAGCCCTGCTGCAGCTGCAGCAGCAGCAGCAAGCTGCAGCAGCAGATAATAGCAATAGAAAGAAGACCAGGAAGAAGGGCCTCATAAGCAGCAGCAGCAGCAGCAGCAGCAGCAACTGCTGCTGCTGCTCCTGCCTGCTGCAGATAGCAGAGGCCCTAACTCATGCGGCATCGAGAACAGCATTACACACGCATTTGCTGCAGCAGCATCTGCTGCTGCAGCTGTTGGTGCTGCAGCTGTTGGTGCTGCAGCTGCTGATGCTGCTGCAGCAGCTGCTGCTGCTGGAAGATCTCCACTCGAGTAGAAAAAGTCTTAATATGCTGCTGCTGCTGCTGCTGCTGCTGCCATATGCGTTTTTGCTGCTGTTCAGCAGCACCTGCAGCAGCAGCTACAGCAGCACCTGCAGTGGCAGCTACAGCACCTGCATCAACAACTACAGCAGCCCCTGCAGCAGCAGCACCTGCTGCTGCAGCACCTGCTGCAGCTACAGGAGCACCTGGAGCAGCAGCATCTGCTGCAGCTACAGGCGCAGGAGCAGGAGCAGCAGCAGCAGCACCAGCAGCAGCAGCAGCAGCAGAAGTATTTATTTACTTTCCGCCTCTGAGTTGCAGAACCATGTGTATAGTGCAGCCTGGAGAGACTCTGTAGTCGCTTAATCTTAGCTCGTCATTCATTTGTTTACCTGCATATATTAGCCGTATTTGTTTAATGTCTATGCCTTCTTTTTCTTGTAATGCTTGCTTCACATGCAGCACTAAGTTGTCAGCTTCAAAGTTAAAAGACTGCTTACGTCCTGTTAATGTCTTTATTAATATCTGCATCTTCTTCTTCTTCTTTATTCAATATTCTTATATATATAATATATATAATATATATAATATATATATATTTTATTGTATTTATTGTATATAATGTATATATATACGTATATATATATACTATATATTATATTTATTATATTATATTATATACTGCTTGAGGTCTTTACGAGAAAATATACGGATGCAGCTTTTGTAATAAACAAAAAGATATCAAACAACAATAATACACCTGCTGCTGCTGTTGCTGCTGTTGCTGTTGCTGCTGCTACTGCTGCTGCTGATGTGCAGCAGGAGAAGATGATGCAGGTCGCCGTGGAAAGCCAAGAAGAAGAAGAAGCAGCAGCACACAGATAGCAAGGCGCTAGAGCTCCTGCTGCTGCTTCTTCTGCTGCTGCTGCTGTTGCTGCTGCTGCTGCTGTTGCTGTTGCTGCTGCAGAAGAGGAAGCAGTGGACCTGCTGCTCTTCTTACGCTGTACGCAGCAAGAGTGCAAGATGGTGTGGGACCCGCGTGAGGCAAGCACCCGAAGCCCTAAACCCTAAACCCTCAACCCTAAACGCAAGCCCCAAGATACGCGTTTGAGTGCCAGCTTAATTAGGGCACAGGAGCATAAGAATGAGAGAGAAAAAGAAGAAAGAGAGAAGAAATAATGTGAAGATTTTTTTTTGTTTGTTTGCTGCAATTGTTTAATGTTAATGTTAGCGAGACGGGGTCAGCAGTATTTGGGGTGTATAGGCAGCACGTGCACTGGTTCTAAGTTTCTGAGAGGTAAAAAGGGAGAAAAATAAATAAAATAAAGAATAAAATATAATAATCTTGTATAAATGGATAGTATTTAACAAACAAAATATAAGCTTTCCCTCTGCATGCAACAGCTGCGGTGTATATACACCGCGAGCTGCACATACACCGCAGATTGTAGAGGACTATTAAGGTTTTTTCTGCCTGATCTTGTGAAAATTAATGCAAAAATAATGAATTAAATTGATTTAAATCAAATAATTTAATAAATTAAATTAAAATTAAATTAAATTGTAAGAAAAGAGTCTGTTATACAACGGCTGCGCCTATTATCTGTGTGTATATATGCATACACCTCAGCAAGCAGTATGACTGTATTATTCTTTTTTACTTCTTTTTCTGTTTAAATATATCCCTTTCTATTATTTATTTTATTATTTCTTTTATTTGAATTGATGAAATGCTTTTTATACTGCAGACAGATACTAGGTTAAGCAAAGACCCTTTCGGTGTGTATTTCTGCAAGAGAAAACAATAAATAAATAAATAAATTAATTAATTAATTAATTAATTAAATATTTAAATAAAAACAAAACAGATAAATCCATACGGGTATTTCTTCTAGAAAGTTCAGCAGCCACTGGCATTACTTGCTGCTGCTGCTGCTGCTGTTAATATATATATATATATATATATATATATTTATATATATATATTTACATATATATATATATATATACGGCAGCAAAGAAAGCATGGGGTTTGTTTACGATTGCATGCAGCTTCTATGTATATTTGTTGTTGCTTTTATTGTTTAGACGGTTTAGGGTTTAGGGTTTTACGATCTTAGGGTTTTAGGGTATAGAAGCAGCGGTGTGCTGCTGCTGCTGCATCTTGTGAGGCCTTTAGCTGCCAGAGGCGAAGCAGCTGCAGCAGCAAAGAGACAAATGAAAGAAGAGACAGCAAGAAGAAGATAAGCCGAGAAAAATAAACAAAAACAAAAAAAAACAAACGAACTGAGAGTAGACAGAGACAGACAGAGAGATAAATAAAGAGACAGAAATTAACAAAGACAATAGACAGACAGAGGAGACAGTGCATGCAGCAGCAGCAGCAGTAGTAGTAGTAGTAGGAGCAGCAGCAACAGTAGTAGTAGCAGCAGCAGTAGTAGCAGCAGCAGCAGTAGCAGCAACAATTTTAATTGTTTTTGTTTCTTGTACAGCAGCAAAAACAAAACAGCAAACACTGCCCAGCAGCAAAACTACAGAGGACTTCATCTAATCATCTTAAGCGAGGGTTTAGGGTTTAGGGTTTCTGCTTCATTGGTTGCATCTCCTTAATCGTCATGCAGAGGGTAATCTAGGATACGAGGCCAGAAACCCTAAACCCTAAACCCTAAACCTTAAACCCTAAACCCTAAACCCCCACGCCTTAAACCCTAAACCCTAAAACCTAAACCCTAAACCCTAACACCTATCATCTAAACCCTAAATCCTAAACGCTAAGCCCTAAACTCTAAACCCTAATGCGCTATGGCTGAGCCTCGGAGTTGCAAGCAGTGCTCTGGAGACTGCAAGGGTTTAGGGTTTAGGGTTTAGGGTTTAGAGCCCTTTAAGAAGCATTCTGTGAATAACGAATGTAGACATGTGCTCCGCAACAGGGTTTAGGGTTTAGGGTTTAGGGTTTCTATAAACAGTCGGAGACTGTCTTTTGCTGTCCCCAAGGGGAGCTGGCTATTCAAATAATGAATGAATACAGCAGACAACAAAAAGAAGTAAAATGAAGCTGCTGCTGCTGCTGCTGTTGCTGCTGCTGCTGCTGCTTGTGTTGCTGCTGCTGCTGACTATGAACGGAGGAAAAGGCAGCAAGAGATGCACGTCAGTGCAGCCCTACTCGCGTTGTTAATCGTCATGCAGAGGGTAATCTAGGATACGAGGCCAGAAACCCTAAACCCTAAACCCTAAACCTTAAACCCTAAACCCTAAACCCCCACGCCTTAAACCCTAAACCCTAAAACCTAAACCCTAAACCCTAACACCTATCATCTAAACCCTAAATCCTAAACGCTAAGCCCTAAACTCTAAACCCTAATGCGCTATGGCTGAGCCTCGGAGTTGCAAGCAGTGCTCTGGAGACTGCAAGGGTTTAGGGTTTAGGGTTTAGGGTTTAGAGCCCTTTAAGAAGCATTCTGTGAATAACGAATGTAGACATGTGCTCCGCAACAGGGTTTAGGGTTTAGGGTTTAGGGTTTCTATAAACAGTCGGAGACTGTCTTTTGCTGTCCCCAAGGGGAGCTGGCTATTCAAATAATGAATGAATACAGCAGACAACAAAAAGAAGTAAAATGAAGCTGCTGCTGCTGCTGCTGTTGCTGCTGCTGCTGCTGCTTGTGTTGCTGCTGCTGCTGACTATGAACGGAGGAAAAGGCAGCAAGAGATGCACGTCAGTGCAGCCCTACTCGCGTTGCTCCTGCTGCTCTTGCTGCTGCTGCTCTTGCTGCTGCTGCTGTTACTGCAGCAGCAGCAGCAGCAGCTGCTGCTGCTGCTGCTGTTATGCTTGGAGTGCGAGCGAGTCAATTGCTTCGACTGTCTCTGCAGCAGACGGATCTTCTATAGGGGCCCAACCCCCTTCTGCTTTTCCTGAAGCAAACATCGCATGCAAGCAAACCCTGCTGCTGCTGCTGCTGCTGTTGTTGCTGTTGCTGCCGGTGCAGCTGTTGCTGCTGCTGCACGACGGCGGCGAGTGCGGCCTGCAGCAGCAACAGATGCTGCTGCACCAGCACCAACTGCAGCAGCAAAATTAAAACAAAACTTTTAACGGTGAAACGCATAATAGCAGCAACAGCAGCAGCAACAGCAGCAGAACCACCAACAGCAACAGCTCCAGCAATAGCACCAGCAGCAGCAACGGCAGTGACAGCAGAAGCAGCAACAGCAGCAACAACAGCAGCAACACCGACAGCAACAGAACCACCACCAAAAGCAGCAGCAGCAGCAGCAGCAGCAACAGCAGCAGCAGCAGCAACAGCAGCAGCAGCAGCAGCTGACGCATGAGTTTGGAGTTAAGAATCCTGAGCTCTACTCTCTTAATCCCAAATAGAAAGACATTTCCTTTAATATGTCGCAGCAAAGGCCCCGATAAACTGCTGTTATATCGCCGCACGGCCTCCTCCAGCTCCTCTTCCTGCAGCAGCAGCAGCAGCAGCAGCAGCAGCAGCAGCAGCAGCAGCAGTAGTAGAAGCACACGGGGTAAAAGCAACAGATACGGCAGCAGAAACAGCAGAAACCAGCCCAAAACGAAAGCGTAAGGTTGTCAGGGACCGCTGCTGCTGCTGCTGCTGCTGCTGCTACTGCTGCTGGTATATCTTGCTGCAGCAGCAAAAGCAGCAGCAAGCAATTCACTCACATCCTCCACTGCTGCTACACTTGAAGACGTCGTTTGTTTGTGCTGCTGCTGATGCTGCTGCTGTTGCATTTGGTGCTGCTGCAATTGTTGCTGCTGCAGACGCTCGTGCAGAAGGTGTTCCTGCTGCTGCTGCTGCTGTTGCTGCTGCTGCTGCAAGCGCTCATGCATGAATTGTTGCTGCTCCTGATGCTGCTCCTGCCGCTGCTGCTGCTGTATCTGGTCTCTCAATCTGTCTTGTTGGTGCTGCCCCCCTAAGAAAGCTGCTGCTGCTGTTCTCGCGCTGCTGCTGCTGCTGTTATTGTAGAATGGCCGAAGAGATGCATCTTCTCGCAGGTAGTGCTGCTGCTGCTGCTGCTGCTGTGGCTGCTGCAGCGGGTCCTCCCGCTGCAGCAGCTGCTGCAGCGTTAAGTCTATCTCAAGGCTTTGCTGCTGCAGATCAACAGCAGCATCAGGCGGCGGCAGCAGCAGCCTCGCAGCGCTGCTGCT